AGTCTTGAGTCTTTCTTGAATCAAGTTGTTCAGCATCTGCAACTACAATGAAACACTGCAGGTACAAGCCCTCTATTTAGAGGCAGGCTGAGGAGGCACTACGGGTAGCTCAAAGGAGGCAGAAAAGATGCAGAAGCATTGCCCTGATGTCTAAAGGGTTGCCGTGGTCGCCGAATGGAGGCACGGCGGTTGCCACAGTCATCGTTCAATGCACGCTGTTGGTCGCCCATAGGAGGCACAAAGGTGGCAGAAGCATCGCCCAGATTGACGGGAAAATTTGCATCTGAACGCATCTAATACCTGGCGACTTTTGGGCGACCACTGTGCCTTCATTCTGCAACAACGGCAATGCTTGTGCCTCCCTTCTGCCTCCTTTGAGCATCCAACCTCGTCAGTGACCTTTGTGAGACTGTTCAGAACATGTGCAAAAATTAACAGCGACCATGCCTGAACCTCCTGTGTACTACCTTGGAACGACCTAGGCAACCATTCTGCCTCATTTGAGCCGCCAACGACGACCTGGCAAATTTTATGGTCGCACACGGGAGGCACAAAGGTCTCCATCATGTGCACAGGCCCCATAATTTAGGTGTCTGGCCGTTTGGAACTCACCCAGTCTCCCTCTCATTATTGCGGTGAAGTCTCTAAATAATATCTTGAATTCCAGTATTTAAATAAAAATATAACTGAGCAGCTAACAACATGGTTGACATCATGTTATTATCATTTGTTTAAAATAAACAAAATTGCATGTACTTTTTGTTCAAGTACCCAAAATAGCCGCCGTGTTTCTTCTTGAATTATTTTATATGCTTAAAATGAATATACAGTCTAATTATAACGTAATATTTTGTTTTGTTTAGGTACATATTTTGAATGTTTTCACTTTTGTTTATTTATTTAGTTCTTTTTCAGGACATTGTGTGAATCGACTGTATCTTGATTAAAACATCATATTCATGCTTTGAAATTCACTCGCGTTTTAGTTTCATTCGTTTCTATGGACACTGCATATACATTGTTTACTTCAGAAATTATGGATAGAACTCCCCGAGAAGTCCTGACGGAGAATGTAAGCCCGAAGGGGAGGGAAACGGGCGGCCGAAGGCGGCCACGGTTCATATCCTACTTAATGCAAGAAATACCAGGAAAAATGAGAAAACATCGACATACACTAGTGAAACACTATAGTGTATCGCAGTATAAAACGAATTCGCCCAAAGCGTGTGAGAGAAAAAAACACGTGCAGCCTGGACTAGATGAAGTCATGACATGAAAAACTGAACAAATTCTCATCACCTGTCTCGGTAGCTCAGTGGGAAAACAGTGGGTTACAAAACTTAACCGGATATGTGAGGTTGCAGGTTCGATTCACGTCATGGAATGTTCATGTCTAAATCAAATTTCTGACTTTTAACCAATCACCAAAACAATTGTGTTTAAATTTCACGGAATGCCCTAACCCGGGCATACTTTAGCTTGAATGCCCTCTTACCCAGGCATTCATTCGTCAACACTCGCCCCTTTCCGTTACCTGCCAGAAGATTCGTCCCCCTATCGATGAATGTTTTGTCCGAAAATACGACAAACCAATCAGAATGCGCGTATGATTTCAAGTTCTTCGTCAAAGAATCCCTCAGAAATAATTTTTGATTTTATATATGTCTTGCATCTAAAAATATACCCAAGACACAGTTAAATGTGTTCAATCATACTGTATAATTCCACATGTTCCGATGTGCTTTAGCTTGCATCTGAAATATATAATACATGTGGAAATATATGTGAACCATTATGCAACGAGTTGACAATTGTTTTAGGTATGCCCGTTTGCGCTAAGACGGAACCCGGTCGCAAAAATGGCAATGAGAGGGGCACGAGTCGCTATTCGGCTTGTCCCGGAATAACACGAGTTGGTCACGAATGCCAGGCATTCTGAGGGAATAACTCCTTTCCGGGTTTACCTGTCGAACCTGTATCTATAACAGAGTGACATCATAAGATGTTTATAACAAAAACTTCTGAACCGCCTCTGTGGTCTTGTGGTTGAACGTCCGCATGATTAAAGAAGGACTGGAAGGCTCGGAGTCAGCGTACTGTTTCTGAGTCGGGTATATAAATCGCCATCAGTCCTCTTTCTCTTTCTTTAATCAATTGATGCATCTGTAAAATCTCACTTGGAACACCCCTTCATGGACAGCTACGAAGTGGTCGAACGAAGTATCACGCGGCCGACGTTTTCGTTTTCATAAAACTGGAAACAGAGGCAGATGCATCTTATGTGTGTCATGAGGCTGTCAAGAGTTACGTCTCTGATGTGTGCCATATAGGTTAAAATCCCGGTCCGGCCTCATGCTTCTAGATTGGTCAACGTGGTAAACATCACTGCGGCCTTTCTTTCCACATCAAGCGGATATCCTGTCATATAACTGAAATATACTGCTCAGAGCTGCGTTAAACCCGACCCACTCACTCACTTATTCCTACCTCCCTGGGATTCCAGGTCAGATTGGTTGGTTTGTTGTTTTACGCCGCACTCAGCAATATTCCAGCTATATGACGGCGGTCTGTAAATAATCGAGTCTGGACCAGACAATCCAGTGATTGGTATCATGAGCATCGATCCATGCAATTTGGATCGATGACATGCTTCAACCAAGTCAGCGAGCCTGACCACCCGATCCCGTTAGTCGCCTTTTACGGCAAGCATGGGTTGCTGAATACCTATTCTACCCCGGATCTTCACTGGTTTCCAGGTTGGAATGGCCGTAATGGATCTGGTGGTCAAGGCTCGGTGACTCAGTTGACTGCGTGTCATCATACCCAAACAGCGTGGATTGTCTGGTCGAGGCTCGATTATACAGGCATCCGTCATTGAGCTTCATTCTGGGAGTCATACAACAGGTTCATCTTCTCTGCAGCAGTGGTGGGCTGGTCTGAGAGAGACACACATTTGCTGATAGTGGTTGGTTTATTGTCGGCGTCATGGCTGTTGAGTGTAAATATACATCATCAACGCCAGAGAATCACCAGTCTCGACCTCCCACAAACACACACGTCATGGGGCGTTAAATTGAACACAGCCGGGACCACAGAACATCGGTGATGACACAGGTGCCCTATATTGCGACCTTTTGAGGCGACTAAATTGGATCAGGTGAATGGTCATATTATCAACCGCTTGGTTGTCTAGCCTGGTTACTTTCAGGCAAGGCGACTATGCTTGTCGTAAAAGGCGACTATGCTTGTCGTAAAAGGCGACTATGCTTGTCGTAAAAGGCGAGTATGCTTGTCGTAAAAGGCGACTATGCTTGTCGTAAAAGGCGATTAACGGGATCGGGTGGTCAAGCTCGCTGACTTGGTTAATAAATGTCATCGATCCGAATTGCGTGGATCGATGCTTAGGATATTAATCACTGGACTGTCTTGTCCAGACTCGAATATTTACAGACAGCCGTCATATAGCTGGAATATTGCTGAGTGCGGCAGTTAAACAACCAACCAACCAACCAACTTTCATGCAGCCATTTATTTTACTAGATATTGAAACTGTTACGTCCAGACTCGACTGAATGTTTCGTTGCCCTGAACAACATATTGACTTACAGAAAGACAGGTGTTTCTGGCACAGCTGATCATAACATGTCACCTGAGTCGGCTGGATCTTACCTGAGGATACATATGCTTTAAGTAAACAATATAAACCCCATTTCCATAAACCTTTGCATCAACACGAGTGGGGCCCTGGTTTACCTACCGGGGCTATTCAAAAATAAAGCGAAATCCTTTCCACAATCATAGTAAACACCAGAGTCTATGTTTACTCAAACCAAATGTTTACTCTACTTGATGCTACAAAGGATAACATCAGACCTGCGAGATGTGTGAATGTAAACACGCTGAAAGTGCACAAACCGGGCCAGGCTTAGAATACATTGTGGAGGATAGAGCCTGACATTATACTGACAGGTCTCACGATGTTAAAAGTACGCTGAGACCCGTGGAGATCCGGGGTGAAATAGGTCTTCAAAAGGCGACTATGTATGGTGGCCGAGAGGGGACATCGCTTTATCTCTTTCTCGCGGTTAAGTGAGTGAGTGAGTGAGTGAGTTTGGTTTTACGCCGCTTTTAGCAATAGTCAAGCAATATCACGGCGGGGGACACCAGAAATGGGCTAAACACATTATACCCATGACGGGAACTCGCGGTTAAGCAATATCCCCTCTTGATCACTGTAGGGGCCGCATTTGATTAATACCAATTGACTACTTACCTTAAGTGGTAAAGATTTCAGTGACTTTCTTTGTATGTCAAGGTCACTGCAATAGCCACTCGTAGTGTCACGGGGTGAGCTCCTGCGACTAGGGTGTTAATAAAAGTAACTTGGTTAATTCATGTTATAGTATCCCAATTGCGTGGATCAATGCTCATGCCATCAATCACTCGATTATTTACAGACCGCCGTCATATAGCTGCACATTGATTGATTGTTGTTTAACGCCGCACTCAGCAATATTCCAGCTATATGACGGCGATCTTCAAATAGATCGAGTCTGGACCAGACGCTCCAGTGATTGACATTATGAACAACGATCCACTCAATTGGGATCGATGACATGCATCAACCAAGTCAGCGAGCCTGATCACCAGATCGCGTGAGTCGCCTCTTACGACAAGCATAGCTGAGTGCGTAGTTAAAACCAAACCAAAACAAAACATCTTAAAATGTAATATTGTTCATACATATTGTGACATGTAATATTGTTTACACCTATCTGAATGCTGCGTTAAACAACAACCAAACAACAACAACCAAAAGAACTGAAGTCTTTTCTGTTTATTCATACGTATATTTTATCAAACTTTGATGTAGTTCGTCCATTTGGGGACCGACTTACAACGACCTGTAACCCTCAAGGGTAAGTCATGCAAATGTGTACAAACAGTCTAGGAAATAGATAGGGTAGTTTGTGCCGCGGAATACATCACGTGAAGGTACACCACAGTGAACAGTGAGTCAATGTTCTTCTCTTGTGGGACGTGCCAGGGAGAGTTACTTGTAGCATGTAAGGAAACTATCCTGCTCGACTCTGGTTGTTCTGCGTTATTCTTTGAGGACACTTGATCGACAAACGTGGTAAAGATGTGAGTATTTGAGTGTGAATGACATAATTTCTTACTGTTAAGGTATGAAGAAATCGAAGAGGAACAGACCCGTGAAGATCCGGGGTAGAATAGGTCTTCAGCAACCCATGCTTGTCGTAAAAGGCGACAAACGGGATCGGTGGGTCAGGCTCGCTGACTTGGTTGATGCATGTCATCGTATCCCAATTGCGTGGGACCCGTGAAGAACCGGGGTAGAATAGGTCTTCAGCAACCCATGCTTGCCGTAAAAGGCAACCAACGGGATTGGGTGGTCAGGCTAGCTGACTTGGTTTATGCATGTAATCGTATCCCAAAAGGCGACTATGCTTGTAAGAGGCGACTAACGGGATCGGGTGGTCAGGCTCGCTGACTTGGTTAATGCATGTCATTGATCCCAATTGCGTGGATTGATGCCCATGATATCAATCATTTGATTGTCTGGTCCCGACTCGATTATTTACAGACCGCCGTCATATAGCTGGATTATTGCTGAGTGCGGCGTTAAACAACAAACCAACCAAAAAACTGTGTGACCGTAGTAGGTAAAGGCCGACGTGATGTCGGTCCTAGCTGTTTAGGATTTTCGTGAAACGTACGAATGTGGGAATAGTGCTTAGAAACACAATCGGGCGGAACCAGGGATTCGAAATCATGGCCATTCTCAGAAATTACAGCAACATGGCGACAATGTCCATCACATTAACAAGAGTGTGAAAAGAGGAAGGAATGTCCATTTTGGAAAGTGTGGGAAGTCGTTTATTGGTATATATTTTATATATAAATGTCAACGCCAGTTAATCCCAATCTCAATTATCTGCCGAAACAGATTCCATCGGGCGTATCAGGCAAAGGTAGCGGTGAAATGTCTAGGAATGGCGACTTGAAAAGCAATGAGTATCTATCCATCATCGCCACTGCTTACCCCACACACTGATCTGAAACCTACGGAAGCGTAGTAGGGCAACGTCGATTTATTTTTTGTCTAAGTATCTTCTACGTATCTTCTACGTAGGACTTAGTATCTTCTACGTAGCACTCACGTACTTTCTCCTACGCAGAACTTAGTATTTCCTACGTAGGACTTACTATCTCCTTCTTAGGACTTAGTATCTCATGTGTAGGACTTACTTTCTCCTACGTAGCACTTAGATACTAATTCCTACGTAGGAGATAGTAATTCTAGACCATACTAATTCCTACGTAGGATATATTAAGTCCTACGTAGAAGATACTAAGTCCTACGTAGGAGATACTTAGACAAAAAAATCACCGTGGCCTCCGTAAAACGGCAACGAGGTGGCAATTATTAACTGAAAACCAACAATCGGCCATTTTGCGATGATGTATTGTCCGTAGTCGTTTTACCTATGAATATCTGCTAAAACTCGACGAGGATTAGCATCCTTAATCTACCCCCGCTGATGAAAAGTTCACTGTCAAATATATTTTGCCTGGAATTTGCAATCGCAAGTATGAATAAGTGTCGATGTTAAAATAACATGCCTTTTATGTAGTTCATGTTGCTTTTTATGTTTCACAATGATCTTTATGATTATTACTCGTAAGAGGCGACTAACGGGATCGGGGGTTCGGCTCGCTGACTTGGTTGATGTCATCGTATCCCATTTGCGTAGATGGATGCTCATGATGTCAATCAGTGGATTGTCTGGTCCAGATTATTTACAGAACGACGTCATATAGCTGGAATATTGCTGAGTGCGGCGTAAAACAAAAACAAAGCTTACTGCAACCTTTAACATCATTCTTTCACTCGCCCATAACTTCGTTGCAAACAGTTTACAAAAATGGAAAATGTAATTGCTTTTGGCATTCCTCCCATAAAGCCTCTATGCGGTGATATGATGTTTGTTTGTTTGTTGTTTAACGCCGCACTCAGCTATATGACGGCGGGCTGTAAATAGCCAAACAGTTCAGTGATTGACATCATGAGCCTCAATCCACACAATTGGAATATGATGACATTCATCAACCAAGTCAGCAAGCCTGACAACATGATCCTGTTGGTCGCCTCTCACGACAAGCATAGTCGCCTGTTACGTCAAGCATGGGTTGCTGAATATCTATTCTTACGGGTCGCGATGTGATGTTGCAAATGACGGCTAACGTCACTAACCACACTACCTTTGCGGATCCAAGGAAGAATAGGTCTTCAGAAACCAATGTTTGCTAAAATGGCGACTATGCTTGTTGTAAGAGGCGACTAACGGGATCGTCTGTCAGGTTCGCTGAATTGGTTGATGTATGTCATCGTATCCCAACTGCGTGGATCGATGCTCATGATGTCATCCACTGGATTGTCTGGTCCAGACAGATCACCGTCATACAGCTGAGTGCGGAATTACGCACCAACAAACCAAGAAACAAACACCAACCACACCTGTTAATAATGCGACGATAAAGATGACATTATGCAATGACTTTATTTGTTTTATTATCCAGAAGTGGCCAACGACATTGTGACCAACATGCAAACAGACGATCTGATCCAGGCGGTGGGGAGTATGTCCCGCTTCCAAGTCGTGATGATGTTGTACGTGTTGGGGACCCAGATCTTGATGGCGTGGGCCATGTTGATGATGTCTTTTGCGGGCACTGTTCCGGATTGGTGGTGTGTTCCCTCACTAGAACCTACAGTTAATGGGACATCTGTCAACTACCTGAACAACGCCACGTCCATGGTGTGTCCCCGCCCTGACAACATCACCTGTCAGTTTGTCTTCAGACAGGACAAAAACACGATTGCTAACGAGGTACGATGAATTACCTCGTCAGAAATGTGGTACCCCATGAAGACCCGAGTTAGAATTGATTTTCAGCGACCTATTCTTGGCGACTAACGGAATCTGGTGGTCAGACTCGCTTTCGTGATTTAAGTATCGTCATCGTATCCCAATAGCGTAGATCGATGCTTGCGATGTCAATCAATGGGTTGTCTCTTCCAAACTCAATTATTTACAGACCGCCGTCATGTGGCTGGAATATTGCTGAGTGCGGCGTTAAACAACAAACAAACAAAGCTTACAGTAGATAGTACTACATTACTGACAACTAATTATTGTTGAAATACAATGGCATGAACCTCTACTGAATCTTAACAGAGCAAACAAACAAACAAACACTCTTTAAGATATAAATTCTCAGCTAAGAATTAGTTTTGTGAAAGCGTTAACATTTCCAAAATCATATAAATGTCTGTGGCGTTAACAAACAAACAAACAAACAAACAAGAATGTGGAATTTAAGACTAGCTGGTGATCATTGTGTTTCATTTATAACATTGGATTAACTCAAGAATATTCGATATTAACATGTACCACTGGAACACATATAATTAGGTCCATAATTACAAACATATTTCTCAATATAAAGAAGTGTGAAGCCCATTTCTGGTGTCCCCTGACGTGATATTGCGCGAACATTGCTAAAAGCGGCGTAAAACCATACTCACTCACTCACTATAAAGAAACTAGCTCCTCGCGTTTACAAAAATAGAAGACATGTGAAATATAAGGTCGAAGCTCATATCAATGTGACAGGTAAAGAAGTCTGGACCCACTGAATATCGTCACCCTTGCCCCTCCAACATTCGGTTGTTTCAGTGGGATCTTGTCTGTGAGAGAAACGTGTTCAGACCTCTCATCACGTCCATACAGATGGGCGGAGTGTTGATCGGGGCCTTCTTCGGCGGACAGTCCGCTGACACCCTCGGACGGAAGTGGACATTCTACATCAGTCTGGCCCTCCACGCAGGATTCAATCTGGTGGCAGCCTTCTCGACGAGCTGGCAGATGTTTGCGGCCCTGCGTTTTCTAATCGGGTCGATGATTGGCTCCCTGCTGGTCGTCCATTATCCATATTTCTTGGAGTTTTTAGGGACAAAGTGGCGCCCCATCTCTTCAGCAAGTCCAGTCTGGGTGACGGGTGTATGTATATTTGCCCTGTCCAGCTGGCTGAGACCTGACTGGTCTCATCAACACATCATACTGGCTGCATTGCATGTACCGTTCTTCTCAGGCTGGTTGTAAGTATCTCAAGTCGAGAGTGAGAAATTGTCAGAGCCTCCATCCAACCCACGAATGGTTGACTACTAATTATAAGCTACCGATGAAATGTTGCATCATAAGCTTCCAAAATATGCCAACATGATAATCATACATTATATAAAAAATAAATGAACATTTAAATGAGCTTACACTTTTTGAACTTACTATGCTACCTTCAGAATATACCAATGTAGTCCGATTATTTAAAGCCACATTCAGCAAAATACCACCTATATGACAATGGCCAGTAAATGATGACAACTAGACTACACAAAGCAGTTGTTGAGTAGTCAGTATAGATCGCCTTCAGGTCTTCAGCAACCCATGCTGGCCGTAAAAGGCGACTATGCTTGTCGTAAGAGGCAACTAACGGGATCTGGTGGTCAGGCTCGCTGACTTGGTTGATGCATGTCATTGATCCCAAATGCGTCGATCGATGCTCATGATATCAATCACTTGATTGTCTGGTCCCGACTCGATTATTTACAGACCGCCGTCATATAGCTGGAATATTGCTGAGTGCGGCGTTAAACAACAAACAAACCAAACTAATAATAGTCAAGTGGATAGAGCGCCTGTACAGAGAGCGGAAGGTCAGTGGCTCCCTGCAGCATCATAACATTAGAAGTTAAACGACGGTAATTGTTGTTACCCTGCCTGGCGCTCAGCATAAAGGGGATAAAAACAAGGATCAGTCGGCTCGGAGTTTGCATACTTAACCTGAGTGGGGTAGCCACGGAACTTAAGTAGGGTATTTTGACAATTGTAGCCATATCCAAGCATGAATATCCTCCTAGGGATTCCGGGTTAGAATTGCTCATACTCTGTTGACTGGGTGTCATCGTACACGTCGGCGTAGAACGTTGCTCATATTATCAAGTGCTTGTTTGTCTAGTCCAGACTTCATTATTTACAGACCGCCGTTTAAAAGCTGGCATATTGATGTGTATTGTTTAATAACAAAGAACCGCGATAAGATACAGGAATGGGCTTGACACATTGTACGCATGTTTAGAATCAAACCCTGGTCTTTTGTGTCTTTTGTGTTTCTGGCGGTACTCCTGGCCCAGTCGTCTAAAGCGCCACAATTAGCTACCCCTTGGCACGCCAGAAACATATGGTTCTGAGTTGGAATCCCGGTTCGCTGGGGATGTAATTGACCTATTATTGGAATCTTTTAATTTCCAAAGCTATTTTCCCGTGACGTCAAGTGGAATCTGTTTCGGCAGAAAATCTAGGTTGTTTTCTTGCATTGCCAGGGGGCACGGGTGGCCCAGTCGTCTAAAGCGCCGCGATTTGCTGTGCAGAGTCGCGTTTCTTGGGCATGCCAGAAAGCTATGATTGTGGGTTCGAATCCCGGTTCGCCCCAATTATGTTTCAAGGTTTGTCAGCACTATACCCGTGCTCGTGGGTTTCACCGAAGCTGTAAACGTCTGAGACCTGTATCACTTCGGACTTTCCTCCCACATTAAGCTGACACGCCGCGATAAAGCTGGAATAGTGTTAAAAGCGGCGTGAAACCTCACTCACTCACTCTTGCATTGATAATTTATATTATAAACAAAGCAACGCATTTATGGAGATGCACATTTCTAGTGTTTAGCAAATTTACATTGAATAAAATGCTGGTTAGCTTTAATGACGAGAAAACCTTATTCGAATACTAGAGTACTTAGAGCATGTACACATAATATGACACTCATTTTTAACAGAATACACTGTGTACTTACATTTAGATTTATTTCGATTTAGAGTTATCTGCATTTTTGCATTTTATCTTAAATATGTTAAGAAAGTACTCATATGATCACATTTACCTTGCAAAGCATAATCCCAGAAAGTCTGCGCTGGTTGACTGTAAAAGGAAGACTGGACGAGGCAGAGAAGGTCGTGGATCAGATGTGTCGATACAACAAACGAGAGAAACCCAGCAACACTGCACAGTTGCTGAAGGAGGTGGCGGAGGAGGAGGAGAGGCTGAGAGCATCTGGAAAGAAGTACACCTACCTGGACATCTACAGGGGCTGGAGCATCTGCTGGAAGTCTCTCATCATACAGTTTCTCTGGTGAGTATAGAGGTTTAAGCAAGAAAGGGGACCGATATAAATACAGCAACTGTGATTTTTATGCGGAATGGCACATATGTTTGTTTGTTGTTCAACGCCGTACTCAGCAATATTCCAGCTATATGACGGCGGTCTGTAAATAATCGAGTCTGGACCAGACAATCGAAGGGTTTAACGCCGTACCCAGCAATATTCCAGCTATATGACGGCGGTCGGTAAATAATCGAGTCTGGACGAGACAATCGAGTGATTGACATAATGTTCATCGATCCACGCAATTGGGATACGATGACATGCATCAACCAAGTCAGCGAACCTGACCAGCCGATCCCGTCAGTCGCCTCTTACGACAAGCATAGTCGCCTTTTACGGCAAGCTTCGGTTGCTGAAGACCTATTCTACCCCGGATCTTCACGGGTCTACAGTGTGCAGTAACATAGACGGAATAAGACATTACATCACAATTTGCCAGGAGAGTGAGTGAGTGTAAGCATGGGCTGCTGAAGACCTATTCTACCCCGGATCTGCCGCGGATCTGTAGCTGTCACAAAAGAAATCTCTATATCGGTAGACAGTAGATAACCAGGATGTTTACCCATTCTTGCTTATTGTCATCTTACGTATCTACATCAGTTTTTCTGTACGTCCAACTGCAATGAGCCGAGTATGGGCGCAATGATGATATGTTGCATACATCCGCTACGGATACAGCTCAAGAAACCATGTATTTACTATGATAGGCCACAGGATTAGAGTCCTTTCAGTATACAAGAATAATATTGTGCACACATTATTAACGGATAAATTTATTAAGTTCGAAATCCGTCATAGAAGATGTATAGCTTAAGGTTATTTCCTCCTCTTCGTAGTGCAAAGTACCAACTGAAGACAAACTGTATATGACTGTATTATTATCAAAGGGTTTATACATATGAAATTTTGAAACAGTCCTCTATCGATCTTTCGTTTGAGGAGGGTAGGTGACATACTTCTACGTACTTCTAAGGTACATCATATATTCCGCAGCGTTTATTTGATTGATAGTGAACTTGAGGTTGTGCCTCGTTCAATTAATCATGCTTTTACCAAACTTCCATTGTATTCCAGTAACACACCCTTCATCTGATTAGAAGTCTGCCAGTGTATCAACTGTTCATTATCTGCCCCTGTATGCCCCTCTATTAAACCCCTATGCCTGCCGTCATCTGATCCTCAAAGGTGCAGATCCGTGAAGATCCGGGGTAGGATAGGTCTTCAGCAAGCCATGCTTGTCGTAAAAGGCGACTATGCTTGTCGTAAGAGGCGTCAACGGGGCTCTATTGGTCAGGCTCGCTGACTGGGTTGATTGATCGCAATTGCGTGGATCGATGCTCATGATGTCAATCACTGGATTGTCTGGACCAGACTTAATTATTTACGGACCGCCGTCATATAGCTGGAATATTGCTGAGCGACAAACCATCCAAACCAATAAATTAACTATGCTTTTCCCAAGCTTGCATTCTATTACAGTGAAGACGCCCTTCATCTGATTAGAAGTCTGCCAGTATATAAACTATTAATTATATGCCCCTCTGTTACACCTAGGGTGTGTCTTGGGATATTGATGACTAATAGTATGTATTCTTGTGTAAAAAACAAAAAAACTTCATGGTCCATTTTAAATCGTCCAAAATGTTTTCAACTATTTTGCTTTTCTAGAACATTTTCGGCAAATAAGGGAGAGCGATTTTTCTCTGGGATCGGCGTATTATATTTACGTGCCGACCTCATCAACACTGCAGTATATTATGCTTAGGTAAAATATGTTCAGATGCTTTTATAATTGAACCACATTGATGTAATTTCAAATATTTTATTTTATTTTTTTTTCAAAATTGCGTTGTTCCCAGCTGAGTTGAGTCAGGGCACATGTGAACTCTACCCATTAAAATATTATCATCAGTAGGCCTACGACATTTAATAAATATATTCTTACAGGATGTGCCTGTCGATGGTGTACTATGGGATATCATTCGGAGTTGGGAGACTCTCAGGCAGCCTGTATCTGAACATCTTCCTCCTGGCAGTGGTGGAAGTGCCAACCACCGCTTTGACGTTCTTCATGAACAACAAGTGAGTGGACGCTCCAAATGTCCTGTCTGTGTCATGACCCGGAAGATCCGGGTAGAATAGGTATTCAGCAACCCATGCTTGCCGTCAAAGGCGTCTATGTTTGTCGTAAGAGGCGTCCAACGGGATCGGGTGGTCAGGCTCGTTGACTTGGTTGATGCATGTCATCGTATCCAAATGGCGTGGATCGATGCTCATGACGACAACCACTGGATTGTCTGGTCGGGACTCGATTATTTACAGACCGCCGTCATATAGCTGGAATAATGCTGAGTGCGGCGTCAAAACACCAAACAAACAAACATGGAGACTGGGATAGGGTGGGACAAGACATCCAAGGTGCATGGATCGTTATGCGAAAGCTACAATTTTAACTTGTTGATTGCCGTTGTTCATCATATGAATTCCTGGATTTGGAAGGTTAGGACTCGAATATTTAGAGCCTTGATCCTTACAATAATGTGGATCGATGCTCATGATGTCAATCACTGGATATTCTTGTCCGGAACCGTTTATTTACAGACCACGTGCGTACGTAAATGGGTATGGGTAAACTCCAATCAAACATCAAATGTTCTTCCCTCGTCAAACAACTGTATGTCATGGGGGATGAATATAAGACCCCGGTCACGCAGATCAATACTCGCGATGTCAGTCTGTGGGCTGTCTGGATCTAGCTCGATAATACACAAGCGTGAATCATCACAATGAAACCCAATTAGGTAGATCGATATTCACTTGTTTGTCTGGTCCAGACACAAATAACTACAGCGTGCTCTTGGTTTTTATTGGTTTGTTGTTTAACGCCGCACTCAGCAATATTCCAGCTGTCAATTATTGAGTCTGGACCAGGCAATCTCATGTTTGACATCATGAGCACCGATCCACGCAAATTGGAAACGATGACATGCTTCAACCAAGTCAGCGAGCCTGACCACCCGATCCCGTTAGTTGCCTCTTACGACAAGCATAGTCGCCTTTTACGGCAAGCTTCGGTTGCTGAAGACCTATTCTACCCCGGATCTTCACGGGTCTACAGTGTGCAGTAACATAGACGGAATAAGACATTACATCACAATTTGCCAGGAGAGTGAGTGAGATAGCATTTAAAATCGCATCGGCATCGTGACCACCATAACATGAGATGAAGTTATGGAGTTCAGTATATGCAATTAAATATATACCCAAAAGTTACTAGTATATTAAGAACAAGAGAATTACTGGTAAGCCAGGATAAATTGAATTGTGACATGGCAAATAACCCCGTGTTACTGTGTATGAGGTCTGCCCACTGGCGCGTACTGTTGTGAGGAAAGGGGTAGTGGGTGGTCCGCGACAAGTAGTACGATGGATATCTAGTGTCCTGTCTTTGTGAATTGGTTCAACTTATCAAGGTTTACCAGTGGTAAGCAAGTATTGAATTATGGTTTTACTGCTGATTTGTTGAGAAATAATAGATTAGATTGATCTTTATAACCCAAGTCATGTTGAGATAAGAGAACCAGTAAGCATATATTGAATTATGGCTTTACTTTTGAATTCTTTTGAAGCATATACGGGATAGATTTTGGTGCAGTTGAACGCCAGCATACTCTAAATCTAAACTTTTAATACGATATATAAGTACGTCATCTATGTAACATTTGCCTTTTTTGTATAAGTGAAAAACATTACATTGAAGATTTGGCCGAAGATGGACCTCGTTCATGTTTTTCGTCATTGCTGTGAGTGGTGCTTTTGGTGTAGCCATTACAACAAGAACAGGTTTGGATTCTTTGTGACTTAGCTATATCAGCTACCAGGCAAAAGAAAGTACATTCTGAAAATTGGATTGGACCAAAATATTACACAAACGTTATCAAAACGTTACTGGGCTGAAAACACTCGCCAAAACACTGCCACTTAAGATCCAAAACACCTCTATTATACCCGTGTCCAGTTTCCACCCTTGCCGAACTAGGCTGGAATTATGGAGTTACATCTTGCCTGGACAACGATTCTAATCATAGTCCAATCAAAATCGCGTAACGAAATCAACATACGGTTCGTAAACCGCAGTGCAGAATTCGGTCGATTGCAAGATTTGCAAAGCATGTGTACTGTCAACTTAGAGTCAAAATATATTTTCCAAATGTTTTCACTTTTGTAATGAAGGTGCTCACGTAATTTGAAGCACTTCGGGATGTAAGACCCGGTTTATAATAATATTGATATTGATTATCGATTAGATCGTCTTCACTGGGCGCTGCCATTTTGTTTGAAGCAAATGCAAGGTGGAATCTGATTGGTCAGTAGGAGGGGCATAGAAAGGATATAACTCATAATAGCCACTGGTGGCGCTACGATCGAACGTAGAAATTCCAGTCTTGTTCGGCAAGGTTGGAAACTGGACTTCAGTTAACTCCCTTGCCTTGGGAAGATAGTGTAAAGTACATCACCATCGAATAACCATTTCTTGCTTGTTTCTTTTTTAAGCAGCCATCAAACATGGGTATACTTTCTTTTGCTAGGCAGTTTATGTACCATTAAGACATTTCCTTTCCAGTGTACTATATCTCTATTTTATTATGATAAATAGCAAAGGAACCATCCGCCAACCCCTGTCCCTCCCAAGTTTCGTTTTGTATTCGTTTCGAAAATCCGTGTTGCTATATAAGGAGCTGTCCAATAAAAATACAACAATGAGCAAGAGTAGTTATGCACGAGGCGAGGTGAGGTGAAATGGGGTTTAACGTTTTGCACTTACATAGCGACGTGCATGCACGTGTGTGTGTGTGTGTGTGTGTGTGTGTGTGTGTGTGTATGGCTGTTTGTACTAGTCCGGACTGATGCCAATTTATAGTGCTAGCCCACTGAGATACCATGCCGCAGTTTAACATGAATATCCCACTCAGACACAGTATACTGACTCCGAGCCGACCAGTCCTTGTTTTAGCCCCTTTATGCCGAGCGCCAGACAGGGTAACAACAAGTACCATCTTTTAACGTCTTTTGGTATGACGGGGCTGGAGATCGAACCCCGGACCTTCCGCTCTCCGGGCGGACGCTCTACCATTAGACCACGGAGGCGGTCTAGTTATGCACGAAGGAATGAGATGGTGCAGTACGATGTAAAGTGAGCGTCGTGGGTACATTGTATTTATTATAATAGAGTGGTGGCCTTCAAAGATTGGCAAAGATTGACATATACCAAATGTATTCTTTCATTATCAATCTGTCATAACCTGCGATATCGCGATCTTATGGAAAGAACATTCTGATAAATATGGAAGATATCTGAAATCTGTGAAATTCTTTATTTATGAATTTAAGTAACAGAGTTATTTTGTAATCAGACAAAGTCAAGGACAATATACCACCTTGTAAAATATTTGCGCTGCCGCTCGTATTATTGCCGAATGTCAGACATCGGGGAGTAATGAAAGTTGTAAGGAAGGTTATTTTGCGAGTTATAATGGTCTTGCATTTCAATTTCAACATAATTGTGTTAGACTAATTTCAACCATCATGTTTCATGAATAACTATTTTTTTGTGAACAAATGATAATTTCTAAAAAAATACACATAGTAGTCTCTTTCTTTCTTTACACTTATAACATGTAATATTGTTCATACACATCTTGACATGTAATGTTCATACATATTTTGACATGTAATATTGTTAATACACGTCTTTACATATAATGTTCATACATATTTTGACATGTAATATTGTTAATACACGTCTTTACATATAATGTTCATACATATTTTGACATGTAATATTGTTAATACACGTCTTTACATATAATGTTCATACATATTTTGACATGTAATATTGTTAATACACGTCTTTACATATAATGTTCATACATATTTTGACATGTAATATTGTTAATACACGTCTTTACATATAATGTTCATACATATTTTGACATGTAATGTTCATACATATTTTGACATGTAATATTGTTAATACATATTTTGACATGTAATAAAAACAATACACATCTTGACATGTAATGTTCATACATATTTTGACATGTAACATTGTTAATATACATCTTGACATTTAATGTAGGGGCGGTTGGGTAGCCTGGTGGTTAAAGCGTTCGCTCGTCACGTCGAAGACCCGGGTTCAATTCCCGACATGGGTACAATGTGCGAAGCCTATTTCTCTGGTGTTCCCCGCCGTGATATTTCTGCAATATTGCTAAAAACGGCGTAAAACCATACTCACTCACTCACATGTAATGTTCAAACATAATTTGACATGCAATGTTGTTAATACACATCTTGACATGTAATATTGTAAATACACATCTTGACATGTTGGTTGGTTGGTTGGTTGTTTGATGCCGCACTCAGCAATATTCCAGCTACATAACGGCGGCCTGTAAATAATCGAGTCTTGAGCAGACATTCCAGTGATTGATATCATGAGCATCGATCCACGCAATTGGGATGACATGCATCAACCAAGTCAGCGAGCCTGACCACCCGTACCCGTTAGTCGCCTTTTACGACAAGCGTAATGTTCACACATATTTTGACATGTAATATTGTTAATACACATTTTGACATGTAATAATGTTAATACACATTTAGACATGTTATGTTCATACATATTTGACATAATTTATTGTTAATACACAACTTGACATATAATGTTCACATGTATTTTAACATGTGATATTATTAAAACATCTTGACATGTAATGCTCATACATATTTTGACATGTCATATTGTAAATACACATCTTGACATGACATGTAATGTTTAAACATATTTTGACATGTAATATTGTTGATACACATCTTGATATATATATACTGAACCAAATTAAAAACTTCACAATCCTAACATTTTAACATTTTCACCAGTAATCATTGTCGGCCCTTATTGTGTATTTAAACAGTAATGGCCACGTATTGTCTTCAGATAACACCCGTCTTTGTGCAGGTGAATCAATCAAAATCATGTGCACAGCACTATAGTGGCAAAAGTGTTTTTTTCACGTGCAACGTCACGTGGCCATAATACCGCACGTGTTTTCAGCCATACTTGTTAGCAGTCATTAAAAAAGAAAAACACAAGAAAACAAAAGTATTTACGGCCATTTGACATGCCACTCCTTTCAAATGTGCAAACTGTTCGAAACCGTCTGAGAACTGCTCACCTTCAAGCACGACGGCCATACTGCGGGCCGATTCTGACTCAATTACACAGACGTCAACGTCAATTGTGGGCACAGCAACACTTACGATGGACTCAGAGGATTTGGAATCAAGTCGTCTTCAGTGATGAATCCCGATTTAATCTTCGATTTGCTGATGGTAGGGCGAGGGTGTTGGACGCTGTCATGAACGTTACGCCCAGTGTTGTGTACAGAAAGTTGACAGATTTCGAGGCGGAAGTGTCATGGTGTGGGGTGCTTTCTATGGCAATGCACGTTCCAGGCTTCTTGTCATCCGTGGCAACCTCAGCGCTGCTGCTTACCGCGACCAGGTACTTGCACCAAAACTTCTGCCTTTTATGGCAGCACATGGACCCGGTTTGATCTTCCAACACGACAATGCCAGACCCCACACAGCAATTTTGACAAGGAATTTCCTTCAGAATGCGGGAGTCAACGTCATGGACTGGCCGCCAAGGTCTCCCGACCCCAATCCCATCGAATACGTCTGGGATGCTCTTGGCAGAAGTCTGCGCACTCTCCAGAACCCACCACAGAATTTTCAACATCTTTGCACCATTTTGCAGCAACAATGGCGTCGTCTTTCCAATCATGTGTTCACAAGCATCACAAGTTCCATGCGGAGGCGTTGTGTGGCAGTTGTCAACGCATATGGTGACCATACACGCTACTGAACTTGTGTGCCATCAGATTCTCGTGCTTGGGACTTATGATTTAAACTGTTGATGTTATTACCGAATACCGTAGGTGCTTGGAACAAATGATGGTTACCACCGTTAATTAAAATCCGTCTTTGGACATTAATGATTAAACATTGCCTTCTCTGACACATTTGTCCGTTGTATATCAGTTATGGGATTACTTTTAAAAATGTGAAGTTTTTAATTTGACTCAGCATAATATAATGTTCATACAAATTTTGACATGTAATATTGTTCATATACATCTTGACATGTAATATTGTTCATGCATATTTGAACAAGTTATGTTAATTTTGTTATATGTTTCAGTTTCTGGGGAGAAACAAGGAATTATCATCAATGTCTTGGCGATGGCGACCAAAATTGGAGTTGGTGCAGCTTGGTGTGCCGTTCAGTTGTGGTCGAGTGAGACGTACCCTACTGTCACAAGGTATATAGAGTACATAGTTGCAGTTTCCACACTCGTTCAAGGTAGAGTATTAGAGATTATTATAGTGACATATCCCAGTTTCACAAGGTAAAATATCGTTATAGTGACATATCCCAGTTTCACAGGGAAGATATCGTTATAGCGACAAATACCACTTTCACAAGTTTGAGAACGTTATAGTGACATATCCTACTTTCACAAGGTATAGATCGTTATAGTTACATATCCCACTTTCACAAGGTAGATATCGTTATAGCGACATATCCCATTTTCACAAGGAAGATATCGTTATACCGACATATCCCATTTTCACAAAGTAACGATCTTTAGAGAGATAAATACCACTTTCACAAGGTAGAGATAGTTATAGTGACATATGCCACTTTCACAAGGCAGAGTGAGTGAGTGAGTAATTTTGACGCCGCTTTTAGCAATATTCCAGCAATATCACGGCGGGGGACACCAGAAATGGGCTTCACACATTGTACCCATGTCGGGAATCGAACCCGGGTTTTCAGCGAGACGAGCGAACGCTTTATCCACTAGGCTACCTGACCGTCCCCACAAGATAGAGAACGTTATCGCGACATATCCCACTTTCACAAGGCAGAGAATGTTATAGTGACATATATTCACTTTCACAAGGCATATAACACAATTGCGACATATCTCACTTTCACAAGGCATATAACACAATTGCGACATATCCCACTGTCACAAGGCAGAGATCGTTATAGCGACATCTCCACTGTCACAAGGCAGAGATCGTTATAGCGACATCTCCACTGTCACAAGGCAGAGATCGTTATAGCGACATATCCCACTGTCACAAGGCAAAGATCGTTATAGCGACATATCCCACTGTCACAAGGCAGAGATCGTTATAGCGACATCTCCACTGTCACAAGGCAGAGATCGTTATAGCGACATCTCCACTGTCACAAGGCAGAGATCGTTATAGCGACATATCCCACTGTCACAAGGCAAAGATCGTTATAGCGACATATCCCACTGTCACAAGGCAGAGATCGTTATAGAGACATATCCCACTGTCACAAGGCAGAGATCGTTATAGCGACATATCCCACTGTCACAAGGCAGAGATCGTTATAGCGACATATCCCACTGTCACAAGGCAGAGATCGTTATAGCTACGTATCCCACTGTCACAAGGCAGAGATCGTTATAGCGACATATCCCACTGTCACAAGGCAGAGATCGTTATAGCGACATATCCCACTGTCACAAGGCAGAGATCGTTATAACGACATATCCCACTGTCACAAGGCAGAGATCGTTATAACGACATATCCCACTGTCACAAGGCAGAGATCGTTATAGCGACATATCCCACTGTCACAAGGCAGAGATCGTTATAGCGACATATCCCACTGTCACAAGGCAGAGATCGTTATAACGACATATCCCACTGTCACAAGGCAGAGATCGTTATAACGACATATCCCACTGTCACAAGGCAGAGATCGTTATAACGACATATCCCACTGTCACAAGGCAGAGATCGTTATAGCGACATATCCCACTGTCACAAGGCAGAGATCGTTATAGCGACATATCCCACTGTCACAAGGCAGAGATCGTTATAGCGACATATCCCACTGTCACAAGGCAGAGATCGTTATAGCGACATATCCCACTGTCACAAGGCAGAGATCGTTATAGAGACATATCCCACTGTCACAAGGCAGAGATCGTTATAGCGACATATCCCACTGTCACAAGGCAGAGATCGTTATAGCGACATATCCCACTGTCACAAGGCAGAGATCGTTATAGCGACATATCCCACTGTCACAAGGCAGAGATCGTTATAGCGACATATCCCACTGTCACAAGGCAGAGATCGTTATAGAGACATATCCCACTGTCACAAGGCAGAGATCGTTATAGCGACATATCCCACTGTCACAAGGCAGAGATCGTTATAGAGACATATCCCACTGTCACAAGGCAGAGATCGTTATAGCTACATATCCCACTTCCGCAAGGTAGAACACAGTACAAGGACATATTCAAATACACAAGGTAGAGAGAAAGGCACAATAGGGATTTCTCGTTTGAAACGGTCGCACGGAATCTGTGCTCTGGGAATAGGTTTGTCGCGTGTTCTCGGCACTTGACGACGTGGATCATTGTTCATGATATATCGTCGATTACAGGGTTAAACGACGAACATACTGTCACAAGTGAAATTCCTTTGGCGCCTTATCCCATCCTTTGATTGTATATCCTTCTTGTGAATGTCATCTTTGTTTGCGTCACTATATGGATGACATATACAAGATGCGACATAAGCTACATCACACAGTACATCTTTCTCTCTTTAACCGTGACGGCCTGATTGTTGGTTCGAATCCAAGATTCGCCCTTACTGTCCTCATTGGTTTGTCGGGGGCACGGGTGGCCCAGTCGTCTAAGGCGCCGCGATTCGCTGTGCAGAGTTGCGTCCCTTGGGCATGACAGAAACCCATGATTGTGGGTTCGAATCCCGGTTCGCCCCGATTATGTTTCTAGGTTTGTCAGCACCATACCCTTGCTCGTGGGTTTCACCGAAGTGGTAAACGTCTGAGACCTGCATCACTTCGGGCTTTCCTCCCAAATTAAGCTGACACGCCGCGGTATAGCTGTAATACTGTTAAAAGCGGCGTTAAATCCAACTCACTCACACTCACTCACTGGTTTGTCACTGCCTTTGGGTTCTTACGAAAGTGATAAATGTCTTGCTTCTCGTCCGGCTTTCCTCCGACGTGGAGCTGACAAGCCGAGCTAAATGTGGTCAAATTGTCACTAATCGGAAGTTATATTTTGTTCCATGGGAACGCCTGCAACAAAGCAGACAACACGTAGACGTGTTTGAATACGCCTAGCAGGAACATAGGTGTTTCACATAGCTAATTAAGTTGATGGATGACAAAGTAGAGACAATTTAAGGATAACTTCTTTATTCACCGTCAAGGTGACGTTTCAGTATCCTCATACCGTTGTTAAGCAAGGCATAATAATGAATGGAACAGAATATATATAGCAAGTGGAGGATGAACAGTAACAACAATTGCATGCATGCGAGGGATTAACACGAGTGGGTTAAATAAGTACTTCTGTTGTCATTACTTACTCATGTTAATCTCTCTCATGTATACAAATGTTACTGTTAATCCTCCACCTACTATATATATATTCTGTATCATGTTCATTATTCAGCATTGGTTGACATAAATTGTGGCTACTTTTAAAGCTATTAACCTTGATCTTACGGTGTGTTTTTTCAGAAATCTCGGCTATGGAGCTGCAAACACCACAGCACGTATTGGCGGTATGGTCGCACCATTCATTTTTGCCATGGTAGGTTTTCTTTGATCAGATTCCAATTCGTAACGATCATTCCATTGGGTATTTTCCACAAGGTTTTCGTGAAACATCTGGATAGATGTACTCGAATATGGGACATGGACCCCGTTTTGGTCCCGATTTAGAACGGACCCGAATAACATGTGTTTGTCCGTAAGATGCGAGTCATTAACCACGAAGCAGTGTTAGAACAGTTACATCAGACCTCGGATTTGATCTTGGGCAATGCAGATTAAACCTTTTGGCAGTTGAGAGCATATGTAGAGTTATCTATGGCTGCTGTCAATTATGAATATCGTCTAGGTATTTCTCATGACATCAATGTATGGCCGCGTCCGCTTTGTGAGACACATGGAATATTCAAATGAGTGAGTGAGTATATATATATATATATATATATATACTCCTTAATTCAAAACTATTGGCTAACATTCAAACTGTTTACATAGACGAACATCCTTTATGCCTTTAAAGTAGTTACAATGTGAATAGCAAGGGACCGGCCATTGGATATTTGGGGGTACTTTTGTCTGGATATTAGATATAACAGTCGCAAAACCAGATATTTATTTCATTAAAACCAGAAGCAAGTAAAAATACTTTGTAACAAGGGGATTTTTTTGTGGCAAATTCTTATTTTTACAACAGTCTGAAGCAAATTCATTTTTCTGGGGCAGTATCTTTTTCAATAAAATCCCTCCCTCGCTGTTTGTTGTTTATAGTCCAGGTATATGATGCCTTTCTGTAAATAATCAATTCTGGATCAGACAATCCAGTGATTGACATGAGGAACATCGAACTAAGCAAATGGAATACGATGACATGCATTTACCAAGACAGCGAGCATGACCACCCGATCCCGTTAGTCGCCTCTCATAACAAGCATGGCGACCAATTCTAACCCCGATCTTCTAGCTCTGTTGATTGTTTGTTTGTTTTGTTTTGGTCTTTTTGTCTTGTTCAATATGGTGAACAAGCCTCAACATGATCAAGAATATGTCATGAGATAGTCTCCTGAACTTACCCATGAACGCAGCCTTAAACAACAAACAGCACAATAAAATAAGGCCGATGTTATTGGTCGATGTAACGTCATTTCAACAGGAAGGGGATGATGTCTTGGTGCCGTTCGTCATTGTTGGCTCGACCATGACTGTCTGTGGAGTGTTATGTCTGATCCTGAAGGAGACAAAGGGTCAACCCCTGGCCGACAGCATCAGTAAGGTCAACTCAGGTGGGCAGGTTGAGATGGTGGCGACCTCATCCGACATGGAAAAGGCAAAGATTTAAGCGGAGGGATTTAGACAGCAATCGACGCAGTGGCACATTCATTCGTCAAGCCACAGACATGCTGACTCATACATAAATACACAGATTTTTATGACCACAACACCTTCTGCAAGAACTTGTATTTGTCTGTTACATACACGGTTGACGGTTTAATGGCACGATTTTGAGCTACATGAAAAAGAACAGTTATGGCATTCCAGACATGTCGTAGTTACATGGTAGTAGCATGAGGACAGTATATCAGGAGTGTATCCGACCTCGTGGATCTGACAAAAATCAAGAAACGCTGCCACTTTGGTCTTTCCCCACAGTGCGTTTAAATCGCATTCTCTGTACAATTCGTTAACTTTTCCAAGGTAACTGTTTGATTGGCAATCTGGAAGTTGGTGAGTTATACTTTCAGAAGCCATAGAAGAACCGTCCTCACCAACCTTCCGTCCACAAAGATCAAGAGGATTACATCCCCTCTGCCTAATCAAGCAATAGACTAATTATTTAGTATCAGTTTGTTACAGCATCTTAGCGCCTCAATCTGTAATCCTTACTATGCATCTGGCTTCGTACAATGTTTCAATCACCTGTCGTTAATGTTGATCTGCTGTTTGTCACAACAATATATTTATGTATTACAAACTTCAGTCTGAAAGACTGAGTTTTCTGAAGTTGAGAAAATTTTCACTGCAGTGAACATAACAGTTGATATTTTACTGCAGTGAACATAACACTTTGACGGAACTATTGTAATACAAGAGTTACCCACCTCACATTTATCTCCCTTTATCGTAAGGGTCAAGCCCGTACACAAACCGTTGACGTCCTTTTTACGTTAGTTCCACATTGACAAGGCAACATAATGCCAAATGGTCATTTATGGAGTTAATGTCGCTTATTACCGTTTGTTATTCTCTCGAAAATGTTTCGTTAGTTTTCAAATTTCTCAAAGCGCCAGTTTTGTTATTTGACCAGCATGTATTCTTTTGCTTCCAAATGTGCCTTCGTAGTTTTCAAGAATATTTTTTGTTAAGGTTGATTTTGTATATAATCATATCTAAATGTATCATAAAGAATTTGAAACCGTAAATATATTGTTTTTACTTTTGTTTATATACTCCTAAAAAGAAACGCAAAGCCAGATTTGTGTGAGGTAGGAAAATACAATTATACAAGGAACCGTACAAAGTATTGAGCCAAAATGTTGTGGAGGGAACACTTGGTGATTGTAGTCATCTCAGTTATCGGTACATTGGAAAAGTCGACGGTGAAGGTCAGCGACCATCAGTAATGCGTATGTCCACCGTTGGAATCGATAGCGGCCTGACATCTCCTGCCCATGGAAGAGACGAGTTTGCGAATCACATCCCGGGGAATGGTAGCCCAGTCGACCTGCAACGCAAAAGCCAACTGCTGCAACGTCTGGGGTTGTTGTTGACGCCGGCCAGGCTCTTGTGATCCGTGCTTTATCCGTGCTATACACTACTGCCGTTGGCTGCAATTTTGAGGACGTGTGGTAGGAGAATTTCGTTGGTGTATCGATGAACCGTAAGATTGCCTTTGCTATACACCAAACCTATCCTGCCATGACATGAGATATCCGCCCATATCATAACGCTACCCCCTCCAAACCTGTCCACTTCCTGTACACAGTTTCCGGCGTAACGTTCTTCCCGACGTCTGTCAACCTGTGCATCCCCTCGACATAGGAGAAATCTTGATTCGTCGCTGAACCAGTCATCTCTCCATCGCAGTTGAGGCCATACCCTTTGTCGACTCAGTATGACACGTCGAACAGGACTCTTGCTCGTAAACCTTCTGCTCTTTAAACGGGTTCGTATGGTCTGGTCAGAGATTCTGCGCAGTCTGGGTATTCGGGATGCAGTTGGGGTGGATGTTGTCGCCCTTTTTACGTAGGATGTAGCGATCTTGGGCGGGGATGGTTATGTTTGGCCGATCACGTATTGACCCATTCTGTTGAAACCGTTCCCATAGCCTTGTGACGGTGCCGGGCGCTACATTGAAAACCCTGGCTACAGTTGATCGGGATTCCCCTGCCTGCAAGCGGCCTATGACGTTATGTCTTTGCACTGTTCGATTGATGCAGGTGCCAGGCAATATATAATCGTGCACTTTAATACCGTTTATAGTGCTGCTGCACGTGCAGTCCGTGCAGCTCCGTGGCCCTTTTGTTAAAGCACTGGGTGCGTTTTTCCGAATCGTACATATTTGCATGTCCTTGTTGTGATCATTTTGATCCGAAAAAATTGTCACGGACACTATAACACATTAAACCTCTTCATTTTGCACCGCTTGGTCCGCTAATTTTCCTTTTGTGACCCAAAATATCTGTTTTGCGTTTCTTTTTTTGAAGAGTATATTTTCAAAATATTGCAAACGCGAAACTTCTTTTTAAGTCGCAAATACTAAGATTGGTGAAACGCCCCTGTGTGTTAGGTAGTAATAATTTACGTTTCAAGGTTTTACATTTGTAATGAAATTACGGTAGACAACTACACAAAAGGTATATAATAAAGATATTTTCACTCCTGTCTCTCTTCGTTGTTCTTGGGGCACGGGTGGCCCAGTCGTCTAAGGCGCCGTGACTCGCTGTGCCTTGGCTACGTCAGAAACCTATGATTGTGGGTTCGAATCCCGGTTCGCCCCGATTATGTTTCTAGGGTTGTCAGCACCATACCCGTGCTCGTTGGTTTCCCCGAAGTGGTAAACGTCTAAAACCTGCATCACTTCGGGCTTTCCTCCCACATTAAGCTGACACGCCGTGATATAACTGGAATACTGTTTAAAGCGGCGTTCAACTCAATTCACTCACTCACTCACTCGTTGTTCTTATTCCAACATAACAGTGTAAGAATCAACATCAAAACGTCGCTAATGGAATAAAACAGAAATTGGTATCCATAAAGATGACTTGTTTTAATTTTTACCAAGCTATCAACTTTACAGCCGAATACACAATGACGTTTAGAAAGTGGTCAAATATACAAATTCTAGTACTTTTAGTGTTTGAGTTCTACCTGGGATTCGAACCCACACTCTCAAAGGGATGCCCTATTATCAGGCGGGTATACAAAGTTCGACGTGATCTTGACTACCAGTTGTCGAACTTTTCCTGATTTTGTGGAAGCATCCTTGACTGAGTGGGCTTGGTGGCTTACTTTGTGTGCCATGATTCTTTCTATCGGGGCACGGGATGCCCAGTTGTTCAAGGCGCCACGATTCGCTGTGCAGAGTTGCGTCCCTTTGATAGCCCCGTACCTGTCGTAAGCTTATTTTACCTTCATCCAAGATAGCGGCATACTTTGCCTAAGATATTTTTCAAACAAATAATCTGCTTTACGTTCAAACCCTGACATTTCGTTTTATGGAAACTGTGATTCAAATTGACACTTAAAATACACGAAGAACGCAGCAATGATTTCACGTCAGAAATGTTCTTGATCGCGACAGCAATCCACATAACTATGGAGTCAATAGCTTACACTATATTTCTATCCGAATCCATGCTGAAGAAGTGTGAAACAACATTCCTTGTCGATAATTTGGGAAGGATACAAATGGAAGGTGTCGGCAGGCTGTAGTAATGACCGTGACCTTACTGATAACCAGGGGCAGCTAATCTTAGTTAATACTGAGAGTGGTTTCCCTTTGTATTCGCGAGACCTTGCTCAATATTACAGTTTTCATAAAGCGCAGAGTTCCGCTGTTATATTTTCTGGATCTCATTTGTGACAATGTTATAGTCTTTATTTTCGCATTTTATAAAAAATATATCAATCTACGTATGTGACGTAAGTGCAAAACCATTAGCGCTTCTCATCAATTTTTACATCTAAAATGTTTTAGGACGAGTGATTTCAATAATTGAATATAACCATACAGTGTTGTATTTATTGATTTAGCAAGGAAATACATGTGATCAAATATGTGCATAGTATATTTGTATAACGAGTATATTCAGTTTTTTTTCTAGCAAATGTAATAGTACTTTGTTTCGTTTTTTAAAAAGCACATATGTTATCTATATTACTGAAAGACAATTGTTTTGTAAAAAGTGATTAAATATCGTCTAATGAATAATTGCATTACTTAAAAACAAGTCATTAAAGGCATAGATGTATTCCATTTTCTATAGCGATTTATTGATATTTTGACAGCAAACGTTAAGCACATATTTTTCTTACTTTCCAGAATGACAATTTGAAAAATCAAATACAAAATGGGTTCCCATGCTTGTTGGTGTCTAAAATGTCGTCAAAAGGAAACATTTGAACATTGTCCAAAATTCAATTTCCAATATATACTGAACCAAATTAAAAACTTCACAATCCTAAAATTTGAACATTTTGACTAGTTATCATTATAAGCCCTTATTGTGTATTTAAACAGTGATGGACACGTATCGTCTTCAGATAACACCCGTTTTTGTGCAGGTGAATCGATCAAAATCATGTGTACAGCACTATAGTGGCAAAAGTGGTTTTTCACGTGCAACTGCTCACGTGGCCATGATACCGCATGTGTTTTCAGCCATACTTGTTAGCAGTCATTAACAAAAAAAGAAAAACACAAGAAAACATAAGTCTTTACGGTCATTTGTCATGCCACGTCTTCTAAATGTGCAACGTGGTCGTGCCATCGGCATGTTGCAGACGGTAACGTCCGAAGCTGATCATGAGTTGTAGTCGACGGACTGTTTATGATTTACAGACGCGTCTTCAGCAAACGGGTACCACCGCTAATCGCCCTCGGCCAGGTCGACCACGTGTTACGTCACATGCAGAGGATCGACAAATTGTCTTACGTCACCTCCGTAACCGATTTTTGACGGCTACATCAACCAGAAATGAACTGTTTAGGGGTAGACTGAGTGCAGAAACTGTTCAAAACCGTCTGAGAACTGCTCACCTTCAAGCACGACGGGTATACTGCGGGCCGATTCTGACTCAATTACACAGACGTCAACGTCAATTGTGGGCACAGCGACACTTACAATGGACCCAGAAGAATTGGAATCAAGTCGTCTTCAGTGATGAATCCCGATTTAATCTTTGATTTGCTGATGGTTGGGCGAGGGTGTGGAGGCGCCGTCATGAACGTTACGCCAGTGTTGTGTACAGGAAGTTGACAGATTTCGAGGCGGAAGTGTCATGGTGTGGGGTGCTTTCTTTGGCTATGCACGTTCCAGGCTTCTTGTCATCCGTGGCAACCTCAACGCTGCTGCTTACCGCGACCAGGTACTTGCACCAGAACTTCTGCCTTTTATGGCAGCACATGGACCCGGTTTGATCTTCCAACAGGACAATGCCAGACCCAACAATTTTGACAAGGAATTTCCTTCAGAATGCGGGAGTCAACGTCACATACATAATCAACAAATAACAATTTATCCTTTGTTTCATCTTTAGCTCCCATCAAACATTCGTGTACTCTTTCTTTTATAGTGTAGTTTGTGTGTTTGTTTGTTTGTTTGTTAGCCGCCTCACAATGCATTATTTCAGCTTTAATGAATGAATGATCTTTATTTCCTCCAGTGATTTTGGAGAGTACAAATAGGTATAAGTATCATAAAATATTTACTCTTTACATCAGGGGCGGTCGGGTAGCCTAGTAATTAAAGCGTTCGCTCGTCACGCCGAAGACCAGCGTTCGAATCCCAATATTATTGTCTGAGTTATTTTCTACAATGTTGCCACCTACAAACCTGTTATTATTGCCTATGTGTAATTTAGGACAGACAATGTTACCAAACCTATAATGAATGAATGATCTTTATTTCCTCCAGTCATTTTGTTATTACTCGCCATGTGTTTCAATAGACAATGTTGCCGCCTACAAACCTG